CAACGAGTTGAGGCCAAGGAGCATGCCAGCCTTCATTCAGCAGCAGGCCTGGATGCTGTTCAAACATAGGCCTATAATAAGAAACAAGAAACAAGACCGAGGATCCTTCTCCGTGTTGCTGGTACAGTAGCCAAGGTGTGACGCACAGAGGTTTGTGTATTGCTGTGTTCTGCACGTAGGATATAGGCTGATAGAATTGTCGGAAGTAAGTAGTTTTCTGTAGATATTGCCACTGATCATTCGGTAGTAGATTCAGGAATGCTACAATGCAACTATACAACTAGTGAAACGCTCTCAGCAGATCCGATAACTAAGAACAAGCGCTCAAACCAAGAGCCCTGGCCTAGTCCCTCCTCCAGCTCAGCCTAAGAATGAACACAGACTAGAGTGTGTTCTCCACAACAACTCTAGGCTGCTGCTAAACTACACTACAAAATGCACTGTCCTAATCATAGACGTAGCTCCAAATCTAGCCCAAAATCCTTCGTTCCGTAATCCTCGAGATTTTCACGAGTCGAACTCCCTGAGGAGGGGAAGACAGCTGAAGAGCTCGAGTCAGCTCTCACCCACTCCCCGCCACAATGCATGGCGCTGTTGTCTGCAGAATCGTCAGCGCAATTCGTGGTGTAATTATCGGAAGAAACATCCATGAGACCTGGAGGCTGAAGCTGCAGTTGAGTTTCTGGCAATCCCTGGGACACTGGGGCTGTATAGTGCTGCTGCTGCTGCATCTGTTGCTCTTGTTGCATCTGCTGTTGCTCTTGTTGCATTTGCTCCGTTTGAACCTTGGAAGCAGGTGTTTGTGGTAACATCGTTGCAAGCTGACTTAGCCGGTCCAGCAGAACCGCAATCAGAGTGTTCCGAAGCTCAGTCTCCCCTCCTCCAGCTGATTCCGAACCTGCGCCACCAGCTGCGGCTGTTGCCGAGCCTGCGGGTCTGGTTGCCGAAGCAGAGGCCCGCCGGAGGGCTTCCGCGGCAGCTGACAGCTGTAGCGCAAGCGGAGCGGCAGAATTTGACGACAGCGCGAGAGAAGAGTCGATTGGCTCAGGCTGGGCGGAAGGTGGAAACTTCCCAGCATTGGACTGCGCGGGAGATGCGGCAGCAGCAGCACGACGGGTTCCTGTGACTGCTGGCGTGGCGGGAGAAGCCGCCGCCAATGACGACGTCACACGTGGCAAAGGTGGTCCTTGGCCGGCAGGAGCGGTCCTGACGGCCGGCTTGACGGGAGACAAGGCGGAAACCACGTGGGAAACGGTGGAGGCGAGAGAAACGGGGGAGGGAGTCGTCGTGGAGAAGGAGGGAGAGGGAGAAGAGGGATTGGTGGGAGAGGAGGGGGCCGATCCGTTGCTTAGGGTTTTAAGCTCCACCAGAGCTGCTGCTGCGTCGACAGCGGTATCCGCGCCGCAACCCGCGGCGCGATCCGCGGCGCTGGTGACACGTGGCAGGAGCGCAGGTTCCGTAAAAGACGATTCCAGTATGGGTGCTTCAGCGAAGCCGTGGCCGTCTGTCGCGGCGGCAGTTGCGGCGTCGATTAAGGCGTAGAACCGCCGCGCAACTTTTTTAGCGGCGCGAGAACAAGGGTTGACGGCGTACGCGAAAGCTCCAGGAAATTTCTCGCTGCTATTGTCGCGAGCTCGCTTTCCGCATCGTGGAATCGCCGTCGACGCCGCTGCTGCTTTCGTCGTCGCCTCTCCCGTCGTCGCCACCGCCATCGCCGCAGTCGGCGGCGCAGCCTGCGCAGCTGGTGGCCGGGACTTCATGACAGCTCGCTTACGCGCGCGGAGCGCATCGACGAGATTCGTGTGCCTCTCAGTGGCGCGGCTCGCAGCACCTCCATCTTCGCGTGTCGCTAGTCGCGTCGCAGCTGCCTTCAGTGTGCTGGCTTTCGCAGCCGTCGCCGTCGCCTTCGCGGTCGTCGCCGCCGATTTCGGAACCGTCGCCGTCGTCGCCGCTGTCGCCGTCGCCTTCGCGGTCGTAGTCGCCTTCGCTTTCGCTGTCGCCGTCGTTGTCGCCTCAGCGGCGCCTTCAACGGCGCCCTCGAAGCCTGGCGACGCGTGGGCGTTCTTGTAATGAAGGCTGAGCGCGTGCAACGAGGGGTAGCGCTGCTCGCACTTGCGACACGTGTACGGCCCTCGTGAGGCGGCGGAATTTGATCCAAGGGTCGAGATGGCGACGTTGGGACTCAGTAGGTGGAGAAAATCGGCTGCAGAAAGATGATTCGTCGTTTTCGCTTTGAGAGGCGGGGAGTGGGGCCACGCGGACGATCGCAGAGTCGTCGCAAACGGTCGCGGAGCATCGCGTGCAACTGTTTTCGTTGCCGTACGATCCATTTCCAACGAATGCGACGGCGGATGCGACGCTTGCGATGGCGGCTGCGATTGCTGCTGCGTCCAAGCGTTCGCTTGCGAGTCGCGTCGGAGGCAGAACGTCATCGTCGGAGTGACGTCGTTAGACCCGATTGTGATGGGTGCTGTGCGGTGGAAGGAAAAAGCGCTCGTGGGCGATGAGCGTGTATTAGAGGAAGAGGAACGAAGTGAATCAACCATGGAGTCAATTTGACGGAGAATTTTTAATTCGAGTCGGAAGTCGCCTCGCCCTAAATCAGTCAGTCCAGAACGGCTTCTCTAATTTCTCTTCGTAGTCAATCGCCTCGCAAATGAATCGTCACGTTGGTATAATCACAATAGCGTGCGCGTGCTCGGACAGTCGAGGGGCGAAACGACGCGTTTGAAAGACTTGCTAGAGACGAAAATATTGACGGGGAGTGGACGTACCCTGCTGATTTATTGCTCGGCAAAACATGCTTCAGCAGGACTAGGAGGAACAGCAGCAGTACTGTAGGAGCAGGGGGAGGGGAGGGGAGGGGAGGGTCCCTTGCGTGGAGTTGACTTGAAGGTGGTCAGGGTGAGGTTGACCAAGGCCCAGTTCGGCAGGCATTCTCGCCATTATCGCCATTATCGGCCATTTTAACGGGCCCCCAAAAAATGGCCCCTCGAAACAGCTGCGAAGTCAGCCTGTAGCCCCAGCGCAACTTCGAAAAAAATGGGTAGTGCGTTCGGTTGGCATTAAATGGGCCTGCAAAAATGGCATCACCCGTGAAAGGTCCTGCGCGGAAGCCCGCATGCAGCTGCGCTGATGGAGCGCATAATCACTGTACACGCAGCCCGGGCAGTCCTGCAAACCAGTAGTGGACGTCGAAAAAAATCGGGAGAGGTGTGATGATCGGTGCAGATGGGTGATTTTCCTCTGGGCACGAAGAGGGGTGCGAAAGGCAGGGATTTGTTTTTTTTAGGGCAAGGTGTGATTGCCCCGAATCACTGATACCCCGCATGGTGCTGGGTCTCGAGGCCGCATGGTGCGGCGGATGAGAAAATGGACAGTTTGCCTGAGAAATATGGTTCGACGAAGATTCCTCTGACAGAAAATGCCTGCGCTGAAAGGGGTGTTCGGCTGGCATTCCATTATTGTCTGGTTCGGTAGTGAACCGCTTATATCGAACCTATATAACCTTTCGCGCGCTTATCAAAGAAGGCTCCACGGTGGTCGGTTTCTTGTAGCCCATACGGGGAACCGTTTTTTTAATGCCTGCCGAACTGGGCCCAAATGTCACGCAAACACGCGACGCGATGCGAAAAGCGGAGATCGAAGAACGCGAAGCCGAGTGCTGCTTTCGGTAAGAGTGAGCGAGGTGGGGAGGATGCTTTCGGTAAGGTGGGTGGGTGGCGGGGAATTCCGGTGGCGAGAAGAAAGATGCGGGCGGGGAGGGTGGAAAAAGGGGAGGGGAGAAAAGAAACGTGAAACGCCAAGAAGGTAACTAGGGGATGTAGGATTTCCATCCAGGGGACTAGGGGCAGGCCGTGGGCAGTGGGGAGGACCCAGGGCAGCGCAAAGAAATACAACTCTTGGGAAGAGGGGAGCAAGAGAAGGGCGGCGGATAACGGGAAAATCGTACGCGTCAAACAATTTTTGACGGACTGGGAAGGGAAGGGCAAAGGAAATGGAAACGAAAGTGGGTGCAGATTCGAAGGGTGGGTGAGACGAGACGGTCCGTCATTGACGAACCGACATGACGTCATAACCGATAAAGTTGGGTAAATCACCCAGCCTCCCGTTCCCCCCCCCCCAAACCAACCGAACCTTGCGCGCCCACTTCTTGTGTGCTGGTGGTTCTAAGACGCTATGCCGGTGCTCCATTGGCTAGTCGCCGTCGTCGTCCAATCGTGAATTCGGGCTGTTGTGCCAGTCCCCCGTTCGCGCTCTCCGTTCCCCTCTCTCAATTCCCAAGGCCGACGTGTACAGCGCCGAAATGCGCCCCAACCTCAGCCTTTGCCAACACACTTGCCAGTCAACGGCGTTGTCCTATCTCTTCCATTTGAAAATCCTGGTATGTCTGTCTGAACTGAACAGGTTCGACGCTGTTCGCGAAGAAGTCTACACTTCGTCAGAACGGCCAATCCCCCTCAAGAAACCAGCTCATCATCGCGGCACGGGACAAAAGTCGCAATGCTGTCACTGGACCGCGTAGATTGGAAGGCCAGGAACGAAATCAGCTGACCTTCCTCGCATGACCTCCGACAGCGACTGATCGGACCATTCAACCCAAATCCCGTCGCTTGGGGGGGGGGGAATTATTGTGATTTCTAAGCTTCCATACATAGCTTCACCTGATTTACCAGCTTATTGCCTCGCATAATGTGTCCCAGCATTATACATCGTGTAGAATACATAACAAATAACACACTAACTCATAAATCACTCAGGTAGTTTCAAACAAATACAAAAGTCAGCCATCATACTTCCGGCTCCACCTGCCCGAAACCTGTGATTCAACACAGCAGGATGGAGATTGGAACACCAGATTATACGAGAGAACATAACAGGGCAGGAAAGGAACAAACGGGAGAGAACAGAGCGGCACGAGGTAGAACGCTGAATTGAAATTCTTGGAGCCACCCATCCCTTAAAGCCCACCTGTCTTCCTCCCAGGCGCTGGCTGTGCCGGGTGCCTATCCCTGCCTCCTGCCCCGCTCGTCCTGCATCAGACCCACGCTCACCATCTCCCTTCTCCTCTCCTCCTAAATGCCCTCCTCCTCCCTTGCTTCCTACCCCATCTGCTGCCCTTGCTCCTCTTGACACTCCCGCCTCTGCCACTCCTTCAGTTGCTGCCCTCCTTCCCGCTCTGTCTCCCGCTTCCCCGCTGTTCCCCAACTCACCCAGGCCTTCCACAGCCTCAATGCCTGAACCACTAATCACTTCCTTGCCTCTTCTGCCGCCTCCCCCCCTAGCACGCCCCCCTCTCTCCCCTCTCCCTCCTCTCCCCATCCGTCCGCCTCCTCCCCTGGCCCCGCGGTCAGTCCCACCAGCCCCCCGCCCTCGACCCCTGCTCAACCCCCTCCCACTACTTCCTCCCCTGCCTCCCCTTCGGTTCTCACCACCTGTATTTCTGTTTGCAGCAGTTCCGGCAAGCATCCCACCGTCACCAGCAGAACCAGCAGTAGCCTTAGCTGTATTCCCTACAGTAGAAGCAGATGTAATGGAATTTGAGAGAAATTTTCCCAGCTGCCCGAGTGCCATTAGCCCAGTCTCTGCTTCTTCTGTTACCGTTTCCTTCCCTGCTTCCTGCCCCTCCTTCCTTGCTGCTTCCTGCCCTTCTGTCTTATCTCCATCTCCCACAACCGTCACCTCAACACCATCATCCCCCCTTCATGATTCTCTTTCTCTTCTTCTCCGCCTTCCCCCTCCTCCTCGTCATACCCCCAACCATGCTCCTCATCCTCCTCTTCCTCCTCCTCCTCCTCCTCCTCCTCCTCCTCCTCCTCCTCCTCCTCCTCCTCCTCCTCCCAATCATGCTCTTCCTCTTGTTTTCGTCCATCCCCATGACCATGCACAACCCTATCTCTATTCATATCCCTGTGCCCATCCCCTTCCCCATCCACATCTGCCTGCCCCTCTGCACCCACCTCACCTTGAACCGAATTCTTTCCACCTCCCACTCCCTTCAGCTCCTTGCAGTCACCACCCTTTGCTGCACGGCCCTCACTGTTAGGATGCTCTCTTCCTCCTCCCTTCCCTACTCCCTCCTTCACCACCTCCCTTGCATCTGCTACACAACGTTTTTCCTTCTCCCCTGCTCCTGTCCCTCCTCCTGCTCCTATTCTTGCTCCTGCTCCTGCCCCCGCCGCCGCCCCCGACCTCGCCCCCACCCCCGCCCCCGCCCCCGCCCCCGCCCCCACCCCCACCCCTGCACCCGCCTCTGCCCCTGCCCCTGCCCCTACTCTCGCCGCTGTTCCTTCTGCTCTGCCAATGTTCGCCTTGATAACAGCAGGAACACCAGTCATACTCACTGACTTCTCTCCACTTGCTGCATCCCGTTCTCTTGCTACTGCACTTGCCTTCTCCTCTTCTTCTCCCTCCATTCGTCCCTGCTCTTTCTCCTTGTCCTGCCGCTTTCCCACTCCGTCTGCCATTGCCCCCTCTCCTTCTAGAATACTTCCTGGGCGCGCAGTCACATTTCCAGATGCGAATTCTCTCTCCGCCTCCCCTCCTCCTCTCACTGCTCTCTGCCTCTTTGTTGCAGGCGTATCCCCTTCCACTTGCCTCGCACCTGAGCCCTCCCCATGCCTCTCCCCATGCCCTGTCCCTAGCCCCAAACCTTGCCCCAGCTGCTGTCTCCCCCTTTCTCCAGCTTCCCTCTGACGCCCTTCCTTCTTGGTAACACCTTCAGGGTTCCCTTCATCCCTTTCCTCCACTTCCTCCCCTTCGTCCCTCTCCTCCATTCCCTCCGTTTTCTCCCCTAGCAACTCCGCATCTGTCTCCTTCTCCTTCCCACCTGCCACCCCCTTAACCTCTCCTTCTGCCTCCCCATCACTGCCTCTACCTCGCTTCTTCCCCATCACACTCTTTTCCCCATTCCCTGCACTCTTTTCCGTACTCGTTACACTCACCTGCCGCTTCACCACACTCCCCTTCCCTTTGATGCTTCCCTGACCGCGCAAAATCCTCAAAACCATCGCCTCCCTCTCCTCGTCCTCCTGCGTTTTTCGAGGCGCCTCAAAACCCCTCGGCTCCTTCACCTCCCCCTCTTCATCCTCCTGCATTCCAGTCACCTTCAAAACCATCTCATCCCTCCTCTTTTTGAAACCAACAGCCATACCCTTACCTCTTGAATTTCCTGTTGAAGTATCCACAGCTTCTTGCTCGTTCCCTTTTGGCTTCGTCACAGCAGACGCCTTACTCTTCCTTTTTGGACTCGCCAACTCAGCAGCATCAGCATCAGCAGCAACAGCAGCAGCAGCAGCAGCACCATCACCACCACCACCACCACCACCACCACCACCCCTCCCTTTCCCCCTTCCCCTCCCCCTCCCTGCCTTGATCCGGTCAATCCCTGCCCCTGCCCTCCCTCCCCCACTACCCCTGCCGCCCCCATCTTCCCCCTGTCCAGACCCAACCATACCCCCTGTCATTGAAACCCCTCTTTTTTTGACTGGCTTGACTGGATTGACTTGGTTGACTTTGCCTCCCAGCCCTTGCGCTGGTGGCACTCCTACAGCTTCCTCACTTGCTGCTCTTGCAGCTGTGTTGCTTGTTGGTTTTGCCTCTCCTGCTCCTTTCGCTGGCTTTTGAAATGACAGCTTAACAGTAACCCCCAACTCGGCTCCCTTTCCCTTCCCTTTCACTGTACTTGCTCCTTCCCCTCCCTTTTTCTTCTCCCTGCCCTGGCTTGGAGATTTTGCTGCAACACTTCCTATCTTGTAGCTGTGAGGACCTTCTGGCTTACCATGACCATTGGCCCCTACCAGTTCCATCTGTTTTCGTCCCACCTTCCTCTGAGGCAACCCCAATTCACTCTCTCCATTGCCTGCCACCGAGTCTGTCCGTTTCCGCTTCACAGGTTGCAATACAGACCTCGTCATAGGCTGCTTCACAGGTTGCCGCCTGACTGCCCTGCTCCCTGTCTCCACTGCACTTCCTCGCTCTCCACTGCCCTCGTGGGCTGCTGCAGCCGATGCTGCCACTGCTGCTCTCGCTTCTGCTGCTGTGATTGCTTCTGGTGATCTCACTTCTACTGCTGCTGCTGCTGCTGCTGCTGCTGCTGCTGCTGCTGCTGCTGCTTTTGTGTCTGATTCCGGTCTTGCTATTGCAGAGGTTCTCTGCTTCCGCCTCTGGTGCCGCCAAGTACCTTGCTTCTCCTGCTTTTCCTCCTTTTCCCCCTTCTCCTCCTCCTTCTTCTCCTTCTCCTGTTTGCTAATCTCAGCAACGCCCATCAGCAGAAGTTCTAATAACTCGCCACCTTGCTCCCTTTCCTCCGCTCCAGATTCCGGTTCCCTTCCCCCCTCTCTCTCCTCTTCCCCCTCCTCTTCGCTCTCCTCTCCTCCCACTTGTCCATCCCCCTCCTCTACCTCCGTATCCCCTTCCTCTTTTTCCTCTTCTTCCTCCTCTTCCTCCTCCTCTTCCTCCTCTTCTTCCTCCTCTTCCTCCTTTCCCTCATCCACCTCCTCTGCTTCATCTGCCTCGTCCTCCCCCTCCTCTTCTTCCTCTTCCTCTTCCTCCTCTTCCTCATCCCTCTCTTCTTCCTCACTCTCCCCCTCACTCTCCTGCCCACGCCCACCCTCTCCCTCCTCCCTTCTGCACTCTCCCTCCTCTCCTCCCCCTCCTTTCTCCACCTCACCAGCCAAACCCTGCACTGCAGCTGCCACAAGCAACAGTTCTGCAGGATCCATCTCGTTCCCCTCTCCATCCTCCTCCCCTCGGTCGTCCGCACCCTCTCCTCTTTCACCTGAACCTCCCTTCTTCCCCTCTTTCACGCCCTTTCTTTCAAGAGAAACAGCTTGTGTTTTTGCTTGGTTTGATATCTTTGATGTTTTTCTTGGCGCTTGAACAGCACTCCCAGCAGCAGCACCAGCAGCAGCACCAGCAGGATCTATGTTGCCATTCGCAAAAGCACCAGCTGCACCAACTGCACCAGCAGCAGCAGCCTCCGCATCAATGGTAGAAGAAGGCGTGCCATTAGCAGCAACAGCAGTACTTGCAGTAACTGAAGCAGCATCCAAAGTGGTTTCTGGTCCTGAAACCCTCCCTGCTGCTGTTTCTGCTGCTGCTGCTGCTGCTGCTGCTGCTGCTGCTGCTGCTGCTGCTGCTGCTGCTGCTGCTGCTGCTGCTGCTGCTGCTGCTGCTGCTGCTGCTGCTACTGTTGCTGCTGCAAGTGCCGCTGGCACCATCAATGGTGCTCCCACTCCTCCCACTCCTCCCACTCCTCCCACTCCTCCCACTCCTCCTGCGTCTCCTACTCCTGCTTCGCCTGCTGCTTCGACTGCTCTTGCCTTCAGCACAGCAGCTCCATCCGCTCCTGCCACAGCACCCATTCCTTCTCTACCTTTTGAAACCACAGCTGCCCTTACCACTCCTGTTGCTTCTACTACTCCTGCTCCTGCTACAGCCGCCACTGCCACTCCTGCTGCTACAGGCAGGTCTGCATTAGCTGTTTCTGACTCTACCACAGCAGTAGCAGCCGCAGCAGCCGCGTCCCTGGGCCCTACTGAATGACTGCCACCGCTGTGCCATACTGCTACTGGAGAAGAGCCTGGGATGCCAACTGGCACTGCAAATTCCGAAGCTAATGCTGATGCTGTTGCCGATGTTGTTGCCGATGCTGCTGCTGCCGCCCTGTACCAGCCAGCATCCCCCTCCCCACCCCCTGCTGCAGTCAGCGAAGCATCAGCTACAAGCACAGAGCCAAGCAAGCGGGTGGGAGGAGGGAGAGGACCCCCTCTTTGAAACCCCCCCGTCTGAGACGCTATTTTCCCATCAAAAACAACATCGGATTCCAATGTCGTTTCCCTCCCATAACCCTCCCGCTCTCCTTGAAGCGCCTCTCGTTGAAAGGCCTCACTTTGGGTCATTGCTTCCCTCCGAAACGACTGCTCCAGTGCTTTCCGAGTGGCGTCCTCAGCAGCTTCAAAGCCAAGCGCGCGAGGCTGGGGAGGAACCGGAATCTGAACTGGTGTTTGCTGCTGGGGAGCAGAATCCGTCTTTTGATAATTCTCAAACAACGGAGTTTGAACTGGTGTCTGCTGCTGAGGAGCCGTGTCAAAGGCCTCTAGGGGGGCGTCGTCAACAGTCACGAAGCCAAGCGCGCGGGGGTGGGGAATCACAGCAGGGGATGAGGGGGCGGATCTACCCCCCCCGGGAAGAAGGGTTGCGGAGGAGCCTAGAACCCTCGCGCCTGCAGCCACTGCTGCTGCCCGAACACCAGAAACAGCAGCAGCACCACCACCACCACCAGCAGCAGGAAAAGCTGCAGAAAGCGTGGGTTGGAATTGCAGAGGCGGCGGAGAAGGAAGAGGAGGAGGGGGAAGAGGGGGTGGAAGAAGAGGTGGAGGAAGGGGAGAGGGAGGAGGCGGAGGTACCCCGCTGCCTATGAGATGAAGGCTGTAGCTGCGAGTGTGCTGGCGCTGAGCAGCCCAGGTGAGGTACGTGGTGTTATCTATTGCTTCCACAGGCACAGTTACCGCTCCATCTCCCAACCAAGCCTCACCACCACCAGCACCAATACCACCAGTACCGCCAGCACCACCAGAACCAGAACCGTACTGGTTGAATCCGTCCCTGCCTGCCCACTCGTTGTCCTGAGAGGTAAACAGAGCAACCCGAGTCGAAGCATCTCCAACAAACCCACCGCCGCCGCCACCGCTGCCCGCATTGCCATCGCTGCGACTGCTTGGAAATGCCTCACACGGATCAGCAGGAGTGGTCGGCATTCCCGAGAGAGCAGCCACAGCAGGAGTGATTCCCCCCCGACCAAACCCTAACGCCATCGCTCCTCCACTGCTGCTCCCTCCCCTACCTGCAGGGCCCAGCCCAGAGCACGAACCAGGAGGACCCATATTACCCATGCCAGGCCCTCCCATCCCATGACCCACCCCAGAACCCACCCCTCTTCCTGTCCCCTGTACGCCCTGACCCAATATTGGAGAAGAGACATTGGAAGCTGACACGTCTGTTGATACTTTAAGGCTATTATTATGTATTACCATTTTGTGCCCTCTGCCCATGCCTCCTCCCACACCCATGCCTCCTCCTCCCCCTCCCGAACCAGGAACTCCCGCCCCAAGCCTTCCGGCCCCCGAACCAAGCGCCGAGCCTCCCCGACCGGTCGGGGAAAGAGGGGCTCCGAGGGAGTAGAAGGAAGGGAGGCGCAGGGCCAAGCCAGACGTGCCTGAGGCTCCGAAGCTAGTGGAATGAAGCAGCTTGATTGGGGATGGAGCAGGCCGGGTGGATAGTGAGGCGATGGGGATCGCCGAAGCAACAGTGGCAGCTGCAGCAGTGGTGGCGGTGGCAAGAGGAAGGGTAGTAGTAACGCCTCCAGCTGCTGCTGCTGCGGACTGTGCTTCCAGAGTCTTCAGTTTGGCCTCTAGCTCCTCTGCCTGCCTTCTCTTCTCTACCAACTCCTGCTGCAGCTGCTTGGTCTGTTGTCAGGGAAATGTTGGAGAGGAGAAAGGGAAATCCAGGATGGAATCTATTTTTAAGGCGCCTCAGATATACACTTTAGCTCCTCTGTCTGCTACTTCTTCTCCACCAGCTTCTGCTGAAGCTGCTTGGTCTGATGTCAGCAAAAAGTTGGGAAGGAAAGCGAGATTCAGAGAGGGAGGAGGGGGAGGGTGGGGGTTGGGCAAAGTGAGGCGGGTGCTCTTTTGTCAAATGTTTATTTCGCAGACAGATGAAAAACAGGAGGACCCAAACATAAAACAACGACAACAACAACAATTTTAATCACATGCATACGCTTGCTGCAAGATGGCTGCACCATCTACTCGTACTTCACTGCTTAAAGCCAAAAACAAAATGTTGACTCCTATTCAACAAATCATGCTTCACTAATCCAATTGTACACCACAACTTAGTTGGTTATGCTTCGTCTCACTTCTGTTGCTGGTCATGCTGGTCATGGTTCCTCGCACTTCCAGCCAGTACCCGAACCGAATGCTGTATGCTCATGTCACTTTTGAGGATTCTCAAAATGAACCCTGATGCTTCACGCTCATGTCACATTGACAGACTGCGTTTCAAGATCACACCGAATTGCAAAGTAATGTTTCGCAATAAAGATGGTCCGTGATAAGCGTTGCTAACTCGCAATCCGATCCTTAAGCAACAATCCTAGTTCCATTCTGACAATAATGAACCAAAAAAAATGATCACACTTTTGGAGGTAAAAAATAAACGAACAAAAAAAAAAAAAACACACAAAAAAACAACTGAAGACTTATTTTGTTGCACCATCAAACTCATATCAATGGGATAGTTCTATGAAATTGCTCACCTTAGCGTCGGCTTTAAGCTGCATTCTCTCCAGCATCGAGGCTGCTTGGTCCTTCACGGTCCCCAGAGTTTTCTCGAGAACAATCAATCGAATCTCCGCATTGCTCGCGCGAATTGCGGAGTCCTTCATTATTTGCTCCGCCACGCTGGCCGTCATCTGCTGGACTCTTCCCGCGAGTTCCGGGTCTGCTACTACCGAGGACGGGAGTTGGTGGCTTGGGGTTGACGGAGGAGCTTCTGCCGCTGCGGACGCGGCTGCAGCCATCGCGGAAGCTTCGTTTGTTGGTGGTTGAGTTGATGGGAGTGTAAGTGTTTGTGTTGATGGAAGCGTAACTGGGAGTATTGGTGGTTGTGTCGGTAAAGAGAAGCCGCCATGGCTGGGAGCCATTGTAGCGAAGCTGAATGCTGTAGTACTAGGAGCAGACATCGAATTGCTAAAACGAGCTTAATGTTGATAAATAGGAGTATGACATCATTCAAACGACCCTATGCATACGACCGTTCAAGCCCTAAACGTTCGTAACCGCGAGCCGCGAGCGGTGAGCGCGACGATTTAGGACAGCCCTGGATGAAGGCAAACCACCGACGGAAAACAACAATGTCAGGGTCAATAAAAACGCCATCGCAGTAACTTACACTACTTACTGTTCCGAATCAGGGACCATAAGAAGCTAAGCTAAAATATAGTAGCCGCTGAGGGAAAACACTGAAAGGTCTCAGGAGTTAGGCTGAGAAAGGTTCAAGCCATGAGATTTGCGGGTTGGAGAAGGAGGCGGAGAAATCAAGGGTCGTAGAGAAAAGGAGGGAAGCAATCTGGCGGCTCGTGGTGTAGATCAAACCCGCAATGTCGCGAAGGAAATCGGCTGCAGCCAAAGCAAAAACCCAGGCCGCATTCTTATGGCACTTGGTTTCCGAAAAACGGCCAACGTAGAACCTTCTTCACGCATCAAAAGAAAGCTCATCAAGGTCCGGATCTCTTCCAGATTCCTGCAGAACACCGCATGTCCGAGGCACCAATACCTGTGGTGAAGCTCCAAGTTGTTTCCTAACCTAGAGATTTGATCGCATGGCTGGTGCTCAGCGACTCTACCTTTCTCTGAACTGAAGGATCAGCCTCCGCACCAGCGATGCGGGGCTGAATTAGGGCGGGGATCATTCTGTTTTTTCGTTTCTTCGAAGTTCCGCGCGGTTAAATTTAGCCATACCTCGCAGTAGCCTACGCTAGAAGAGACAAGAAGGCACTTGGAAACTGACCTCGGTTAATGCGGCTGGAAAACATGCAAAAGAATGCAGAGATGGATGGATAGCTCTTGCCTCGGCCGAGTTATGTTACAAATATTTCAAACTCGTCAATATTTCACATTCCTATCCGAAAATTGCTATTGGGCATGATTTATAATCACTTTTACATTGGCATGTAAACTCACAGGGCTAACCTATCGCATCTGTCATTAATGGATTGGGTTGTTGGTGCATGCAAACTGCAACTCTGGTATGCAAAATGCCCTCCAGTTTCACTTCTCAGGCTGAAGAACTCTGCTTACACCTTGTGCAACGACGCACCGTCCTTTATATACATCCTTGGTTATTATCTCAGCACGTCTGCCCAGACCGACTACACCCAAGGTAGTACCTGTCCCCGTCCAACCTGCAAGCCCATCAGACCCCTCATATCTTGCTATTTTCTTCTTAGAATGCATTGTCTGTATTCCTGTGCCTTCTGGAGTTGACATGAACATAGAGTAGCTATAGGAACCTGGGATTGTATTTACCTTTACTATATCGCCGACCTTCTTAGACCCAGTGATTAGACCCCACAAATTCTGGGGATTTAAACCCGCCAATACAATGCCACGGTTGGTGGGGATAAGAAATGTGGTCGTTGGAACTCCAGGTGCTGACGTGTCGCCCTCTGCATAGGACGGAAAAGCAGTGGAGGGGAATTAAAGGATGAGCTAATATCAGAACCGTTTCCCGCCGGATACCCAGTTAACGAGCACAAAGCAGCAAACGGGTCAAGATTTACTTTTACGGGATTAGGTCCGCATTTAGAATGCGTAAGAGTAACCAAAACACGCACCGAGCTCCTTAATCGCTCGTTTCAGTACGAGAGCCATGACCCGGTACTTCCTCGGCCGTTTTGCTAAGGCTTTCCGCAGTTGCTTCATCTCCCCAACGAATTGCTTCCACGTGCATACCGTCCCACCCGAGCCGACACCAGGAACCGGAATCGGCAAGGGAAAAGGTAAGAGAGAGCCTGCGACTTGGCCGAGGAAGAGGAAAGCCAGCGCTGCTAGGATTGGCAATCGTGACGCCATCTAAGTGGAACACGGGACAGAAGGACGAACGGAAATTGACGTGTGGTAGTACGAAGAAGCCTCTAGTGGTTCAGAAAAAGATTATGGATTGTTGACGCTTTGTGTATCCGCCTTAAATCTGAGGTCATAAGCGGAGACACTACGAGGAGTCACTAATCGCAGCGCGATCGTCAAGAACGTGCTGATTTTCCTCACGGCGATTCACCAACCGACGCCTATGACATTCTTGGGAATTCCATTTCCCGAACATGTTGCTGATGTGGCGTCATTTTCGGTTTCCAGCGCTGTCGAGAAATAACTGATGACATGAAAACGACGACCTTTCCACAACCACCACTAACCACACCAGCACCTTTCTCTAAGGGCGCGTGTCCTTGAGGTTGAGGTTTGGCCAAAAGTTGAACTTTTAGAAAGGTTGTACGCGGTAGGATACAGTTGAGAGACGTGTCGCCACGTTACAAAGCGGTACTAGGCTCGAACTTTGACAATCTACACCAAAAGACACGCGCCCTAAGAGCGAAACTACAAAACGTGTTCGAGAAACTTCGGTTTGGTCAGATACAGTACGGTAAAAAGAGGTCAATGTTTTCGAGATGCGCTGGGGTTCAATTCAAATTCGAGACCTGATGCATGCAAGTAGCAACGACTTGCTTCCTGCTCTGCATAACACAAGCGGGGTAGCATAGCGGACCGCCTGCGCAGGGGTGTACCTGTGCAGCGCCGCCCTAGCACCGCCATTGAGCTGTAGGGCCTTGAAATGAATTGAGGAACACTTGGCTTTGATATGCCTTGAGTTATAAACCATCTCAGATTACTGAAATAGCCACACGTTCCAAAAACCGCCACACCTCACACTATGGACCATGACATAAGGGATCAATCTGCCACCCTAGAAACAAGCACAATAGAATACTGAAAAGGCAAACAAGCGAGAGCATTCCTTATTCCCCTCCCCCAATCCACTTCCGTGCTAACGCAATTATTTTCCGCTAACCCACTCCCCTCCCATCATTAGCATTCAGCCATTGAATCAATAAGCTGCTAAAAGACCACTTGAGCCACTTGACCAAGCCTCACCTTCCCTCCTTCATCCCTCGTCTCCCAACTGCTGGCGCCTCCCTGCCACCGAATCCGCCTCCCTGACGAGCACAGATGCTTCCGAGGCGGCGCCTCAAATATTCTTCACAGCAACGTCTACTTGGCCTCAGGCATGAGCTTCTTGAAGTTGGTTTTGGACGAGTACACCGTCTGGGCCTTCCACTGGGCGGGAATGACATTCTTGAGGGTGTGTCCCGCAGTCAGGCGAACGCTCATCGCCTTCTTCGCGCCCACAACCTCCTTCGCCTCCGCACCCTTGATCCCCCAGATCGCCCTGTTCTCGTCGCGCGTCAGCTTCACCCACTTCTTGCCGTCCGCGCTAAGCTCGACCTCGATAAGCGTGCCGGTGTCAGAATGTTGTATTTGTCTAGCCTGCAGTGGGGTACTATAAAGCGAGTACAACCCAATTTAGGGTTTCCTATATGTACTCAACTGCCTGCTAGTGCAAACCCTCTTTCGTGTTCTATCATTCTACCTGCTATCGTTGACACGCTATCAGAGCGGTTACGCTCCTGGCCTGTGGGCCCACCGTTAGCTTCCGCTGCTGTCCTATCTGGGCGCGCGACGTTTTTTCTTTTCGCCACGCGCTCGGGGCGCATGGCGGTTTTCTGCCCACCGCGCGCTCGGGGCGCACGGCGGTTTTCTGCCCGCCGTGCGCCCCGAGGCGCGCGGCGGTTTCCTGCCCCGTCGACCAGCGCGTCGCCCCCCGTCGTCCGTCCAAGCGCCCCCGGGGACCTGCGCGTCGCCCCTCGTCACTCGTCGAAGCGCCCCTGGGACCCGCGCGCGGCCCGTACAGCCTGCGCGCGGCCCGTACGACCTACGTTAGGCCCGCGCACTGTCAGAGGTCCACTGGTGATCCCCGATTGATCCTAGGGAAGGGTTACAGGCACGTTGGCCTGGGGGGTTATGGGCGCACTCACCCGCTACACAAACAAGCCCTTTTATCCCAGTGGTTAGTGGCTGGGATTCTGACATGGTATCAGAACGAAGGTCTCGGGTTCGAATCCCGGTGTATGCACCTCGGGCATCCCAGTGCGGGGGGGTGTCAGAGGTCCACTGGAGATCCCCGATTGATCCTAGGGAAGGGTTACAGGCATGGCGGCCTGGGGGGTTATGGGTGCACTCACCCGCTACACAAACAAGCCTTTTTATCCCAGTGGTTAGTGGCTGGGATTCTGACACGCACGGCCCGTACAGCTCGCGCGCGGCCCGTACGACCTGCGCCAGGCCCGCGCGCGGCCCGTACGGCCTGCGCCAGGCCCGCGCACGACCCGTACAGCCCGCGCGCGGCCCGTACGGCCTGCGCCTGGCCTGCGCGCACCTGCCCTGCCGTGCGTGCACCCGCTCCCGCCCCGTGCTGCCTGTGTTAGGGTTTGGGGGTGGCGGGTATGGGGCTGACGGGTGTGTGCGCTGTTCCCTGCTCCTCCTCCTCCTCCGTCTCCCACTGCTGCAGCTGCCGCTGAGGGGGGTGGATGTGTGGGAGTCGTTGGAGTGGTACTAGGGGGGTGGCGTGTGAGCAGTGCTAGGGGTACAGCAGGGGGTGTGTGAAAGGGGTGTGGGACAGCTGGGGGAGGTTGAGTGGAGGCAGCCGTCTTGTCGTCCGCAGCGCCAGTACTCCGGAGGCTACAATCTCCGGTAGTCGCCAGTCGCCCGTGGGTCCGTTGCTCCAGCCGCTCGTCGTAGCCGCGGAGCCAGTTACTCCTAAAGTGCGGGCCATTGCTTCGGTAGCCACTGAGCCAGCCGCTACAGTGTGTCTGCAGCTTCAGCCGTCGCCTCAAATCTTCTCGCCCCCACAGTCTCTCCTCCTCCTCACTTGCCCTCTGTTATAGCCTCTAGCTTTGCTTCTCATTGCGAACTATTGCTCTACTTGCTTATTGTGCTGATTACACCCCACTTTGGCTATGGGGGTGTGTCAGAATGTTGTATTTGTCTAGCCTGCAGTGGGGTACTCTATAGCGAGTACAACCCAATTAGGGTTTCCTATATGTACTCAACTGCCTGCTAGTGCAAACCCTCTTTCGTGTTCTATCATTCTACCTGCTATCTTTGACAGCCGGGGCCGGCAAGGCCCACCATCTGGATGTTGAAATGCTCCGCGGTATAGTTGCTGCGCACGCGCACCACCGATCCGGCGGTGGAAACGCAATTGGTGTGCTTGTACGTGACGTTTACGGGGGCGGCGTCAGACCCGTGCACGATTTTCGCCCATGAGACGGCGGAGAGTGACATCTTCTTCTCCGTCATCGAAGTCGCGCCGATGACGCGGACGGTGGCCTTGCCGCTGCGGCAGCGCTTCGTGTCGTTGGTGCAGATCACCTTAAAGCACGCGCCGCAGCGCTTGCCGAAGATCGCGTCAGGAAGCTTCGCGGTGAGCCCCTTGCCGAAGTAAGGGTTTGCGTTGTAGTTTCCGTAGTAGTTTCCGTAGTAAGGGTCGCCCGCGACCTTGCTCAGCCTCGCAGTCGCCACTCCCACCGCGCTGTTAACGACTTTCGTGGCATTTCCAGACTTCGTCGCATTCGCAGGCGCTGTCACATTGGCAGGCGCAGCCGCCTTAGCAGTCGCGTTGGTGGGCGCAGTGGCGTTTGTCAAACTTTAAATGTGTTAGGCTGTAGTGGGGTAGCCCACATGGGGTACAACCCAAAGTTAGGGTTAGTACTTGTACCCTTCATTCATTCAATGCAGTCATTCCTGCTCGATAATTCTTACATGGTTTCAGAGCAGTAGGTCCGTAGGACCGTTTTTTTCGGTTTTTTGTTTTTTGTTTTGTTTTTTTTTTTTCCGGGCCCACCATTATATAGTGACTGATTGCGGTTACTACGTTACCCCACGCCCTGCTCTGCGCTGCGCCATCAGCGAGCGCTCTGCCCTGCCCGTGTACGCCCTGCCCCGCGTCGCGCTGCTTCGCGCATGCCCTGCCCTGCCTTGCGTCGCGCTGCCCCACACACGCTCTGCCCTGCCCCGCGTCGCGCTGCCCCGCGCACGCCCTGCCCTGCCTTGCGTTGCGCTGCCCCGCGCACGCCCTGCCCTGTGCCCTGCTACCATGTGCGTCGTGCCCTGCTACAGCCCGCGCGTCGCGCTCTGCTGCCCCGCGCGTCGCGCCCTGCTGCAGCCCGCGCGTCGCGCCCTGCTGCCCCGCGCGTCGCGCCCTGCTGCAGCCCGCGCGTCGCGCCCTACTGCAGCCCACGTCGCGCCCTGCTGTAGCCCGCACGTCGCGCCCTCCAACGCCCTGCCCTGCGCCAGCGCCCTGCCCTGCGCGAGCTGGAGCCATGCCCTGCGCGCTGTGGCGCCCTGCCCTGCGCCAGCGCCCTGCCCTGCGCCAGCGCCCTGCCCTGCGCCAGCGCCCTGCCCTGCGCCAGCGCCCTGCCCTGTGCGCGCTAGCGCCCTGCCCTGTGCCAGCGCCCTGCCCTGCGCCAGGGCCCTGCCCTGCGCGAGCTGGCGCCATGCCCTGCGCGCGCTGGCGCCCTGCCCTGCGCCAGCGCCCAGCCCAGCGCCCGCGCCTTGCCCTGCGCCAGCGCCCTGCCCTGCGCCAATGCCCTGCCCTGTGCGCGCTGGCGCCCTGCCCTGTGCCAGCGCCCTGCTAAACCCTAAAAAAAAATGAAATCCAAAAAAAAAGGAGCTACTTCCTTGGAGCTACTTCCTGCTGCTGCCTGCTACTGCCGTGCTCTGGCCGCCCGCCGCCCTGCTCTGGCCGCGCGCCGCCCTGCCCTAGCCGTGCACCGCCCCGACCTACTCTAGTGCCTCCTCGCCGCCCTTCCTGCCCTGCGTGCTGCCCTGCGTGCTGCCCTGCTGGTCGCAAGACTTCCCTTCACGGCAGCGGTGGGAGTGGCGGCGGCGGTGGCGGCAGCAGTGGGAGTGGTGGTGGCCTCAGTAGCAGTCCTTTTGGAGCTGTTCGGTGGGGAGTT